CTACACTGATTAAAAAAATTAAACCAGTATGTTAAAAATTGAAATATTCTTACGATATCATATACAATAATGAATTACATATCACATAAAATTGAGCAGGGATATTATTTTTAAATTCAATATAACTATCTACTTAACTATCATATGTTATTTAAATAATTTCAATATCATTCTTATATTTTATAAATGCTTGTGAAAATTTTGTACACAAAAAATATTTATAATTTTACTTAATTGTATAAGTTTCAAAAAAGTTTGAAATATTAATATTTTGATTTTTCATGTTCATTAAAATAAGAAAAAATAAAAAAGTAATAAATAAATATTTACAATTCTTTAATTTATTTGTTTCCTATACTGTTGTTTCAGAATAAATGACTACTGGTATACAAACATAATTGAATTAAAATTATAGGAAATTATTAAAATTCTTAAATGAAAATAGGATAATAGTAAATTTCTTTTAAACATACTTATTTAGCAAGTTGTAAAATTTCATTGATTTTGATATTGATTCTGTTGTAATTGATATGTAAATTAAAATTATATGAATAATATTCAAAGCGAATGACAAAGAAATAACATAAAAAAACATATCAACATTCTTCGAAACTCGGAGAATCATTTTAAAAGGCTGCATTCTAATTGTTTGACATAACTTCTGTTGTAAATGTACTTATAAAAATAATTCTTTACGCTTATTGTAAAATACGCTATTGATTTATAAATACACAATAAACGAAATTAATTGTTTATATGATTACCAATGTCTATGTTTTATTTTCATCCCAAATATAAATATATCCAATTTTACATAGAAATTTTTCTTTTTAATATTATTTCGAATTCTAATTATTTTACAGTTGAATAAAAGTTTAGTACTAAAGATAAATAAATTAATAATATATAATAAAAATAAAATAAAATTTGTTTTGTAAAAATATAAAAATTATTTCTTAGAATTGAAATTAAATTATAATATAATTATTATTCCGTATTTTCAAGTTTTCTACATTGGAAATTAAAGAAAAATGAATTGAAAACATTATTTTTAATAGTGTATAAAATAATGCTTTTCAAAAAGATTCATTCACGATGAATTGATGTAAAGTAAAATGCACAAACTATTATAATGGCAATGCCTGCAATCTTGCTGCTTATATTATAAGCATAACGAGAATTCAGGTCTTGTATGAACTAAATATAGAAATCCAAATGAATAAGTCTGTAGTGCCTTCATTAAAAATAAATGGGTTCAAGTAAGTTGGCCACTCTTACGTTAGTATGATAAAGAAGCATGAAGCGACACAATCGACTATTCCTTCTTATCAATAAATAGATGAAGTTATAGATATTAACTGCCGATACATTTATTACTCATTTATTGCACATCGATAATAAAAAGAGATTATTTTACGATTGTCGGCAAAAGAGGGCTCTATTGTATTCACTAGCAATGTATAAGAGCTCATCTTTGTCGACAAATAGTGTCACAGTCACTCTCGTTTAGTTTGGTGCAAAATCGTTTGAGCATTTATCTTCTGCTCAGTTTAGTAATGGTATTATCACTTACTATAAAGTGTAATAATAATAAATGCATTACTATTAGTCACATAGCTATCACGTTTACGAATAATCAAAATTTTTCTATGACATAAAACTGCTTTTCATGAACTTAGAATACGAAATAAAATAAAAAAATGTATTTAAAAAGTATAGATAATACTTTTACTACAAATCTAAAGTGAATATATCACAATATTTTATTACTTGTATGAAAATATATTATATTAGTATATCATACTACAGATACTATTTATATTGTGTATATATATATATATATATATATATATATATATATATATATATATATATATATATATAATCCTCTGCTTAATATTGTAAGGCAATATAACAAGTGCTTTAATTAAGAAATAATTTTAAACTATATTAAAAATTTAACTGGTATGTGTAATAAATTCAAATGTATCCAAAGTTGAAATTCTAAATCTTTGTAGAAAATTAGTATTGTTTATTTTAATATAAATATACATACCTAATTAGAATGCAAATAGAAAACTATTTAACACAAAGACTGTTTATTTTGGCGAATATACGTTATTACTGTATTATTTTGAACGCAATTATTAACGACAAAAATACGGAAATATTATAACTTCCTTCTCCCCAATTTCAATTGACAATGCGTTAAAATATGTAATATCAATTTAATTCAATTACTGTATTAAATTTATGCATTTAAAAATATTAATTGAAACTAATTAAATGATATGTATTTCTTTTGTTTTATTGTATTAATCGAATTATCGGATTAAAAAATCCATAACTCTCATAAAATTTTTTTAGAAAGCTTTTAAAATATTTGCTACACTTTCGCAACATAAAATTCTGACCCGGTGCATACTCACTAATAAAATTGTGCAACATAGTCAGTAAGCATTATTCTGTTGAAATTGAAGCATGAAAACTTTTGCAAAAAGAAATTAAAAACACTAATTGTACTCCAACGCTTTTACAACACAAGAAAATTATACAATAAATTTTATTTTGGATAAATAAATTGGAAATTATTAGCAATAAGTTTCATAACCATAAAGAAATATAAATTATCGTAACATTTCAAATTCTGTCGAAAGACTTCAAATTCAGGTAAACATCGCTTCAAATTTCTATGGTCTGATGAAAGAAGAATACTATCTTCCTTGACTCTAACAATCATGTTTGATATGACCTAGCAACCACGTCGGCTTAACCCAACTTACGCTCCATCGCTTCCCAGACCTCGAAATAGAATCATGCGAGGATTTAAAAATGTATATCTTAAACCTAGTGGGTGCACTCTTAAGTCACGTGTTTAGTCCCATTATATTACATAATTGACACACCTTGGCTTTGCTTCTACATGTTCGTTCGTTTCCTTCTAAAATCATGAAACGTACGCTTTTCTTTCAGGTTTCGATTTATATCATATCAGCTGTCGTTTATAACGTAGATGGAATAAATAGTTTAGATTATTATTATCACTATTATTATTTAAACTCTATTTCAATTATCAATTAATATACGTTAATATAATTGTTATTAATATTATAATTTCTCATTGTATATATATGAGTGACTGTGTACCTAGAGTGTATATATTCGTTTTTCTTCATTATTTACACGTGTAGTGAAATCTATGTAAATTCATATCGTATATTAAATAAAAGACTTTTTTGCAGTTTGCATTGTAAAATAATTATGCTGTTAAATATATTTTTTCAGCATATTTTCACCGAATGAAGACTACTTTGCAAAAAATTAAACAATATAGATCTAAACGTTAAAAATATTGATACTAGAATACTTTTCATCGATAATAAAACTAATTATTTTAATTTATATAGGTAAATTATGCATATAAAACAAACGCATATATAAAAAATCCGTGATAATTAAAAAAGTATAGAATTATAAATTTAAATTAGAATTAAAATTATTATGATTTGAACTGCTAAAAATTTATTTCGTTAAAAAGTTGAATAATTTTTTTGTTACTACAAAAGTATTTATAGCAGTTGAATAATTTAATTTAATTTCTCTTATAATAAATAATTTGATATCTTGAAATATTTATTATCATGTTTATAAATATTTATAATATTTAAAAATCATAATGTATTGAAATATCATAGTAATGAAAAAAAGTAAAATCATTAAATGTATTTCCAATAACAAGAGGGAAAATTACATTTAGTTTAATCCTTGATCAAAAAACATATTCTTATTTTTGAAAATTGAATATTTATAATTCAAAATGTATTATTGCACAATTTCAACAAAATATTTAAGAATAATCACCAAAAATACAATGAAAAAATGTTTTTTTTATAATACAGATAAAGCATATACGTTTGAATTTTATTACCATAATCCTCTGCTTTTGCAACACTATATTAATTTGTATCTAGTGTGATTCACGATGAATTTATATAAAGAAAATTTCTGTAATTTAATTTATTTGAATTTGATGAACAATTATTGGTTTTGCATTGTTAAATGCTCAATGCATTAATAACATGTATATGTACAAGAAAGTCAGCGTTAAAGAATCACCGTACGTTGCTCCCCACACAATTCATTAATTCGATGAGCTAAAAAAATTCGCGTGTATGGATAGACGATTGCGCATTCAGGTGTATGTAGGAGTGCGTGAAGCCAGTTAATCAGTCTTTCCTAAACAACGCGTTTGGTAACGCCGGCTCTGCAGGTGTTCATGATCACTGCCCACGGAGTCGTGTCTACTAGCATCGCTATCACGACTTCCAGCCGAGCCTGTCTGTCTCTTTCTCTCTCTCTCTCTCCCTCTCTCTTTCTC